GGTAAACAAATTAACTTTATTTTAGAAATTGTCTAGGTTTATTTATGGATTAAATTAACTTGCATTCAAAAAGATTTAAACAAATTATTAAATGGAAAACGTTTACATCCAAAGAACAAGTAAGAGTGTTGTATTGGGCTATGCTGAAAATTATATATCCACCATCAAACCGTATGTCGTAAAAAGAAATGCTCCCCTATAAACAACAGGGTTATATTTGGAATAGGGTTAAGTCAATTATGGACTCTTTCGAATTAAAAAATATACATTTTTTAAAATAAAACATTTTTGTCCAATTCTTGAATCATGAACATATATGCACGGTAGGGTCGTAAAATTTCGTAGATAAATATCGGTTTGTATAACACTTAATTTGGGTTAATAAGGTAGGGTCAATTAAGAACCGATACTTATCAAATTTTGTGCATAGATTTTGTTTTCTATAGCGCTTGTTTTTGTCGAATTTGATCGCTTAACTCGTATTTTAAATAAGTAAAACTCTTTCCTGAAAGAACCCTATATAGAGGCTAGGGTCAATTATAGACCAATCCTCATCAAATTCTGAGTGATGAATTATGTTCTTATAAAAGTTTTTTACTATGTCGATTTTCATAGCTGTACTCATAGTATTCTGAAGATGGCTTTATAAATGAGAGGTAGGTTAAATTATAGACCGATTCTTATACAGTATACTGTATTTTTATCGTATTTTTTAGCCAGCAATGATCGTTAAAGTCATTTTCTGAAGAGGACTTTACATGGTCCAATCCTCATAAGATATTTTAACTTAAGAAACTTATATATGTCGAATTATGACTGTTAAAGCTGTTATGACTGTTAAAGCTGTTTTTCGGGGGACCACTTGTATGGGGGCTCTATTATGCTATATTGAAGTCAAGACAAAAAATTTTAAAAATTCAAAAAAATCAGCAGCTTCCATTTTATGGGCACTCTAATGTACATACATACATACATATGTACATAGTAGTACTCTCAGAAGCACGTTCACAGTCAATATCAATTTTAAATTGATTTTATTATTAAATAATAAATTTCCACTCTAAGTTAGTTGTTATTTTTATTTTTTTTTTTTTTTTTTGCTATTTCCTTGCTTTTGCACATTTTATCAAAATCTGCAACATAAGTTTTTGAAAGTTGAAAAAAAATGAAGTAAAAATTCAGCCAAAAAAGTAAAGTAACGAATATAGAATTTAACAATCAGCAACAGTATTGAGTGTAAATATTGGCAACCTTGAAAGTGTCGTAAGGACATGAAAATGAAAAACAAATATAATATTAAATGTTTTTTAAAGCAAAAAAATAATAAAAACTGCATGTCATTGTAGTTGGTTTTGTTGGTCACTTCGTAGTATTCAAATAAAAAAGAAAATTTATGTATTCTAAAAAGCAACAAAAACACAATCCAATTATTTGCACGCAGTTTCTTCACAAATGAAACGAAAATTTTCACTTCCTACCAACAAAAAATTATATTACAAATAGAAAAAACGCTTAAGTAAAAGTGGTAAATACATAGCTATAGCGGTAAGATATTGATTCCGCAATAGTAATTTTACTAATTGTTTTTCTATTTAAAGCAAAAATAGGGAATATATTTATAAAATATAAGCACAAATTTGTCAGTTTTTAATGTGGTGTTACATGGCATTTATTGAAAAAACTAGACTTGCCAGGAGTTTTAAGTGATCGAAAATAAGATACAAATTTAGCACCTTTAGAACAACATATAAAAATACATTTTATTTATTAAAAAAAGTATTATTTTTAACATAAATTCCCACAAAATCGATCAATTTAGGCGTGATTGACGAACATACAAACAAAAAACCTGACTTACAAAAAAAACATGAGAAATCAATTTCTTGTTTACATATGGATATATTCGACGTAGTTATGCGTTAAAACCCCCAAATCGCAAGATCAGATTGAATGGGGGCTAGGTTGAAATAATGGAATATCTTGAAAATTATGCCCTGTAGCTTGCTCACAGTGTTTACATGGACAGCCAGCCAGACGGACATGTCTTAATCGACTCAGAAAGTGATTCTGAGTCGATCGGTATACTTTAAAGTGTAGAATCAATATTTTTGTGCGTTAAAAACATCAGCACAAATGCATAATACCCTCCCCACTATAGTGGTGTAGGGTATAAATACTTTGGGTATTTGTTTTTTTTTTACTAGACGGAATCGAATATTCTGATGTCGTCTAGACTATTAACTAGTATGTGATTATCCCTAGGACCAGTCTATGAACTTCTATATGTATAAAATTTGTCTAGTCTATAATTTGCCATCCCTGATATGTATTTATATTAGGAACTACATTTATGGAAAGCGAAACATTGTTTTTCCGAAATGATATTTTTGAGATATGCCAGTCTTGAAATAAATGAGTGACATGTATATTATAGGAAATTTTCCATATCTTTAATTTTGTTATGACGTTGAAGTGAATTTTTTTATGGATGTCACGGTTTTTAAACGAAGTTTTCTAAATTTTTCAATTCTCTTAAGTCTTCTGTCTAGTAATGAGAAAGAAAAGCATTCTTGTGTAAAGAATACTGTATCTAAGTTAAAAGGAAAAATACAAAATACGTGATGTTTTCATTACATAAAATAAATAAAGACAGTGAAAAATATACTTATTCTTAAATTTAAATCAACATACATACATATAAACAACTGGCTAAATATTGAAGAAGAACTTGAAACTTTAAAATTAAATAATTTTATAATTTATGAATAAAGTGGTTAAATAGTACCACTTTTGTTATTTACGTATGAAGATAGCTGGTATTTCTCTTGTAATATGTTCTCTTAAACTAAATTTTATATAAAACATAAAAAGAAAGATTCATTTATACTTTTCAGACAATATAGGGAAAAAATGTCTTTAATAAAAACAATTTCCGACACTAAAGTACAATTTTATGTCTTTTTTGAAAACTAGCTACGGGCAACCAACAAAATCAAAAACAAACCTTAAACAGTGACACACATAAAATCCTCCCACAAACAAACAAACAAATAAAGAAATAAAATAAAGTAAAATGTATCACCGCAAATTCATAACAATAAAAATCATTGAAGAATACAACATGTATTTATTTTTCTACGTATTTGTATGTGTTCCTATGAAAAGAATCGCCTCTGTAAATAATAAAAAAGGAAGAAAAAAAAAAGAAAAGGTCTACAATTTGTCTATGACTAAAACACTTACCATAAAACAATTGAAGGTTTTATTAACAAGTCTAAGGATTTACACTTTATATGTATTTACAAATGTATGTAGTATGTGAAAGTGTGTTTTGGATTTTGTTTTGATTTTTGTTGATTTTATGTACATACATATGTAGTATATACAATAAACCAAAATATATTTTTAGATTATTGGCTTCATTTCTTTATAAAAATTTAACAAAATGAAGATAAGTGGCTTTATATAAAAATGTTAACATTATGGCTTTTTTCAAACTCTATTGAACTCATATTAGCGACCTCTTTTTCCTATCGAAGAAAGGATATTATATGTATTCATTTGCTTTAGCTATGGAAACCATCAAAATGAATACATGAAGATTCATTAGGATGGCTTCTATTTCATTCAACTGTACAGGTGCGTATTTGATTGCAATATTACGGATTGATTCATTACATTGAAAATATATACTTTGCAAGATAATTTAAAACGGTAAATGTTCAAGTTATTAGAAATTACCTAAACATAATATGTACTATATGTATAGATATATAATTATAAGGATTTAAAGGTTTAAATTAAATCCATATATGAATGCTTCATAGTCAAATTTGTCTATTAAATTAAACTATTGAATTAATTGAATGTAACAAAATGTTTAAATTAGTTACTCCTACAAATACTTATATTAAACGAGTTCTAAAATTTAATGTAGTACTAATAATAATAACTTCTTGTTTTTGCTGAAACGTATAACAAGGCAACTAAATTGAACTACGTGACTAGGTGTATGTAGTCAGGCAATTATAACAAATGTTATAAAAACGTGTTGTCTTCCTTAAGAAATCAGACATCAATAGAAATGTGAAAAAAATTGAAAATATTGGAAGGAAAGAAAATTTGCCCAACAATTAGCAGACACAAAAATAGAAGACGTGGATCAATTGCAACACATATTGCAATTTAATTAATTATGTTAAGGATTTTAGTTAGAATTACAAATTTTGTCGATTTACTTTCTGGCACCAGAAAAAGTATCAACATATTTATTCATTAATTAAATTTGAAACAATTTTAATTATCACATACATATGTATTGTTGTTTAATCAAACGAATGTTTTTTTAGAGGAAATGTATTAATTAGTTTGGCACATTTGTTACGTAATTTGCTTTAAGTTGGGATAGTATTAATTGATAAAAATTTTGCTTTTTATCTTATTTTGTTATTTCTATTAAACTTCAGTACATTTAATTGAAGTTTATTAACTTTGTCATTAATGTAATTAAGCTATCCTTTAATATTCAATAAGCATACAATATAAATTAGGTTGATAGCAGGATGTACATACATATACTACTTCAAAACCTAAGAAATACACATCGGCCACTAACGGTTTTGTTATTGGCAGAACAAATTTAAATTGTCAATTATTTTTTTTTAATCTTGTTTTATATTTTCATAATGAATCTATCGAATCTCTATAGTAATTTCGTTTTATAAGTACGTATTTTCATAATAAAATATTTATGAATAAATGCTTATAAAAATACACTAATTTAAATACTCCAATTAATTTCTGAAATAAAAACAGCCTAATTGGCAATACATATGTTCAGAACCAGGTAATTGTGTGTTTGCAATAAAATGTACACCCTTATAAGCCTTAAGCGTATAATTAATGTTTTATTAAATAATAACTTATACGCAACAGAAAACTTTAACTTCTTTCGTACTAATTTTTTCTTTTCTCTCTCTTTTTATTTTTATAATGTTTAGATTGTCTCATAATAAATCAACAAACACGTGCCATAATTAAGCCACAAAATCATAAAACGTGCAACTGCCACAGTAATTATATGAATGCATAAACAATAATAATAACAACAGTTAGTCATGCATTTATACAAATTAAGAACATTAAAATAAAATTGAAAACGGGCTCACGTCTCAACCTCAATCCAAACAATGGCCAATCAAAGACTATTAAAGGATGAACTAATGTCAAACACGTCAAGAAGATGTTGCAGCAAAAACAATAAATTAACCTGGAAGGTCAGCACAGCCCTTGGGACACGACAACAACAAAAAGACAACAAAAGGAAACTGCAATTTATACACAACATACCAAAACTATAAAAGAAGAGGACAAAGAGAGAAATAAATCAAATTTATTAACGAATCAATAAACATTTTAATTGCTTAAGAGTATTTGCACAAAACAACTTGCTAAACAATTTAACGTTCAGTCCTATTTGGGCAAAACTTTTTACCAAACAAATATAAAGAAATTTGCATAAAGTTTGATTTACTAACCCCAACTAAACCAGCAACAAACGAACAAACATATTTCAATTAAAATTCAAATTAAAAATGTCAGAATTTCGTTTTTTCGCTTTTACGGATTATGAATTTTACAATCGTTCACTGAACTTCTTCCAGCTGCCTATAACACCATTTCAACCCACCAAAAAAACCACCGCTGATGAAATATCACATGAACTAAATGTTCCCTACACAGTATTTGAAATACTAGTGGCCATTTGTGCAATTATTGGCAATCTAATGGTCATTATAGTTTTCCAACGAGAACGCAAACTTAGACGACGTACCAACTATTACATCGTTTCTTTGGCTATAGCTGACTTTCTTGTGGGTTCGCTGGGAGTACCATTTGCCATTTTGGCTTCGATTGGTTTGCCAACGAATTTGCATGCCTGCCTCTTTACGGTTTCATTGCTAGTTGTTCTCTGTACCATATCGATATTTTGCCTAGTTGCTGTATCCGTCGATCGTTACTGGGCCATCCTATACCCCATGGCATACTCAAGAAATGTACGCACTAAAACAGCTATTGGTAAGTGTTAAAATAAAATTATATTTATAACTAATTTTTAGGGATTTATATGCATAAAAACGAGCACTCAAATATACATAAATAAGGATGCGCTTAATACAAAAAGGTTCAAAACCTTAGTAAATAAATTCAATCATTTAGATTTAATAATATTTTTTTTTTTTTTGCTAACTAAATAACAAAACGACAAAGAATGAACTTTCTATTAAACTACATAAACACATTCATGTTTAGTAACTATTAAGCATTTGTTGCAACAATTATAAATGGGTTATTGCTCTCACATCAAATCATACGATTGCTAGTTGCACACAAACTTGCATAGAAGACAATTAAACTGAACGAACTGAACCTTCAACGGTCATCAACATCATCCCCAATCACATCATTATAACGGCAGTCAGATAATCAAAATAGAATTAGTGACTCATCTACTTCCAAGTAATCCTGACGTCGGTCTTTACATACATATATACATTTTAAGGATTTAATATATGACGTACTTTATTTTGTAAAGTTTTCTCCATATAAATTTCACTTAATAAAGAAACTTCTTCAACTACTATATCTACATATATTCTCTTCCATAACATGTACAAACGTATAAAGAAGTGGTAAAAAGTACATTCACATGTTTGTAAACAGGAAAAAATATTTTCATTAATTTTTTATCCTCTAACACCTATTTTTTAATGTTAGATTTGGGATCTTAAATACATCACCCAGATAGACATAAGTTATGTAATTCTGCTTATGAAAATTACGATAATTTCAAGTTTAGTTTTTATTATAAATGTAGCAAAAGTGGATCAAAGATCTTTAAAATGGATTTTTCTATTTAACAAATAAATTTTTATAAGTGTAGATTCATATGAATGTGTATAAAATTACTACTTATATGGTTGAGTACTTTAGAGTTGAACAAAATTGTTTTTTGCTTCTTTTAATTAATATCGCCTTATTTATTGATGGGTGGTCGAAATTGTCTATTATCCTTCACTTCTGCGTCAGAATAAGGGAGGGCTGATTACAGAGGCCGGACTGTTGCAAATGGGTTGGTTAAATTGCATTTTTTATTCTTGTTGTTAAGTTAAAGCGAAGGATGTTCATTACTAATAGTTTATATAGAATTTGTAAAACGTTATTATGAGAAGAATATACATATCGCCCATTTACTACAAGAATAATTCAAAATTCTGGTTTTTTGAACTGAAGGCTACAAAACATGCGTCATACTAAAGACTTTCATATAGATTTATCAATTTTCAAATTTGTCTACTTTCAACATGAGATTGAATTCTTATTGTAAACATAAAAAATAAAACTCATGTTTTCACGAATATTAAATAATAAATACAAAAATACATTTAGATGAGAAATATATTAATTAACCTCTACTATCTGATTCTGGTTTAATTATAAAAATCCCATGATTTGTTTAAAAGTTATTTAGAAAAGAGTAAAATGTCTTTAAGCATTTAAAGTCATTCTTCTCGAATCAACTTTTTTGGATTATGTCAGTCTTGCAGTAATATTAATTTTTAAAAATTAATAATTATTGTTAGAAATTATATAACTTATTTGAAGTTAAGTGTAAACTAAGCAACGTTTTTGAAAGATATTTAAAAGTCTAATAGAGGAATAATGGAATGTATCTAATTTAAAATCTCTATTTTTTAGTTATTATCTCAATGTGTTGGGTTGCTGGTACTGTCGTAGGATTTCTTCCGCTATTTGGCTGGCATGCAGCTGTTGATGACAATCAGGCTTGTCTCTTTGTCGAAGTAATGGACTATAATTATTTGGTTTTCTTATATTTTGCCACCATAATAACACCCGCTCTATTAATGTTGGCATTTTATGCTCACATTTACAAAGTGATTATAAAACAAGTTCGACAAATTGTCACCATGAATCCTGTGGGAGATAGTAGTCGTCGATCGTCGATAGCACAGATAACAAATCCTGGTCGATCGTGTCATGGAGGTACAATGTTAAGAGTATTAGGTGCTGCCCGGAAACGTGATGTCAAAGCCACTCAAAATCTATCTGTTATTGTGCTATTTTTTATGATCTGTTGGATACCACTTTACACTATAAATTGTATTAAAGCGTTTTGTCCATCGTGTTCCATACACCCCAAGTTGACGCTGTTCTGCATTATACTCTCACATCTTAATTCTGCAGTTAATCCAGTATTATATGCCTATCACTTGAAGGACTTTAGATTGGCATTGAAAAACCTGATACTCAAAATATTGGGTATTGAAATCGATCAAACTTTAGAAGCCCAACACCGTTACTCGTTGGCTTCGCAACATCGTCTGCAATCGATGGATGTTGGTATGAGGAATCCAATGCAGACTAGAATATATATAGGTAAGAATCATTTGAATTAATTTGAAGTTTTTAAACTGAACTCTAACTTTTTTAGATTCTCCAATTTGGCTACGGCAACAACAACAACAATCTCTTAAAAATGCGCAACTTGTACCTAAATGTGGTGTAGTAACACCTTGTTTAAATAACATACATCAAACAGTAGCTGCCGTTGCTTCTGTTACTACCGACATTGAAAGAGAAATGTGGAATATAATGGAAGCTTCTAGTGGAGCCGAGTTAGGGGAAATTAATTACATATTTCCTGATGAGAAAGACTCTGCTGTTCCGACTCCTCCACCGAGACATCATCGTAAATCGCAGAATAAGAAGGAGAGCTGCGAAAGTCCCTTTTCTTATGATAATTGTTCCTATACTCCAAGTCCCGATGACAATGATTTTGAAGAGGTCTTCCTACCTAGTCGTCACCAAGAAAGTGGCGTGGATCACAATGCACTTAATCAATCTTTAATAGCATGTACAATGCGCGATAAATTACGGTCTGATATTGACGACCGACCACCTAGTACGCCAAATTCGCAGAGCGATTACGAAATACCAAAGAATGAGGACTCAAAATCCCATACTCCAAATCATAATGTTAAGCCACAAACCAAAACCCCACCTTTAACGCCAAAACGCATGCAACAAATTAAGCCTAGAGAAATGCAAAAACATCCACACTCAAATGGTTGCTTAAGTAATGCTTCCATTTTTATTATAGAAACAGACTCGAATCCGATGTCACCAGGTCACAAACCAAAATTTAGAAAATCAGCACAAGCAACAAAGACTGCAAACTTAAATACAAAATCGTTAACACGTTCCTGTTCATGTACCAGTGACACGTCGGCATCAACGTCTCCTCAAAGAGGCATAAAACTTTCAAGACATTCCACAGTCACAAATAGCAGCAGCGCATCATCCAGTCCCCATTTAACAGCTTCCAATCAAAATATATCTCTTACTTCAGAACAACTTCCAAACTCTTACAACAATAACAATCTAAACTATTACACGTTTCACCATCCATCTTCGCATTATCATAGAAATCAACATCATCACGAAAAATTCAGTCCACTTAGAGCGATGAGTAATTTAATATTCCCTCCAGTTGTCAAACATTCCAGTCTCTTTCAATTATTCCATCCCACAACTTCAGAAACAACACAAACATCGAACAAGCCCACTAACAAACATCAAACGACTGATAATCACAAAAACAATATAACAAGCACGCAGGAAGCAAATGCTGTTAGTGAGTCGGAAACAACTTTAGATACGGAAATAAATGATACACCGTCAGTCCAAGTGCCAGGAGTACAAATAAAGTCCGATAGTTGAGTAATTTCAGTAGAAGTTTTAATATAATACTCAAAGTTCTTTCAACCAATGAAAATCTAAAAACTCCAAAACCATAGAACAGATTTTTTAATCTGCAGAATATCACATTTATAAATTTGATTACTAGATCAATTGTTCAGTTGGCTTTGGTCTTTCCCATTTGCTTAGTTGTTTATCTGTGTCACAAAAACCACAGAACAAATGAAAAAGGTTTCAAAAAAGTTTATATATTTTTTTAATTTTCTCAATGAAGGGGATTAGCAAAAGACGTATTAAACTCTAGGTGAATTAAAGTTATAACTATAATCTAAGTATGAATGTAAATTGATAGTAAATATTATTTTTAATTAAAAAAGTTTGTATTGTATGTATATAGAAATTAAAGTATTTAGCTTTTATGCGTATTTGTATGTATGTATGTATTTATTTTTCTATGTAATACGTAATTAAGTTTTTTTAGATATGAAATGTATTTTGAAATTTCTTTTAAGAATGAGTGTATACCATAATTAATTGTTGATTTAACAGTGCAAATTTTAAATTATCAGTTACGTATACGTTAATTAATGAAATACAATATTAGTATTTTGAAATAAATTAAAAAAAAATAATAAAATTATTGTTATAAAAAAAGTAATTACATTCAAAAAAATGGAATAAATTTCATTGCAGCCCAAAGGTAATGAATGAAATTTAATATTATAAATTCTACAAGATCATCGTTACTAATAGCAATTTTTAAATCTACGATTTATAAACCATTTTCAGATTTATTATTCTTAGTCAAATTATGAGGGGTTCAGCTGTTCGCAGTTCATTTTAATAAATATATTGGAAAATAATGAGTTATTTATAGGGTGATCGACACGGTTTTAAAACCGGTTTAAAAACTGTTTTTTCTGCTTTACCAATATCGGTTTTTTCTAAATGTTGATTTTTCGAATGTCAAATACTTTTTTTCGAAACCGGTTTTTACTTTTTAAAAACCGGTTTCGAATACTTTTATTTGCTTTGTATTCAAAGATTACTTAAATTAAATTCTGAAGTAAATAATAATACAGTCTAAATTTTAAAAATATTGAAGTTCAGGAACTAGAGTATATTTTTCTAACACACCTTTTATTAAACTATTTTTATTTTCTTAAGTAATTAACAAATTTTATTTGTAAAATTTATTGGAATAACAGTTTGATATTTAACATAATTATGAGCTCAGAAGCCCTTTTCGGGGGGTTCTGTTCTGTAGATCTAGTCGCCTAATTTACATTATTGCTTTAATGTAAAAAAATGGAAAATAGTAGGACACTTCCGTTAAACATAATTAACTATGTAATCCTAGCTTATTCTAAAATCCATGTTTTTCCATAGGCATTCCAACACTTCTATAAAGGACTTTGCTAGGGTCTAATGAGACCTGATCATTATGAAATTTGACAAGGTTTTAAAGACTTGTATAAAACTAAGTTGTGCTGCGACTCGGATTGGGTTTGTATTTTAGGTAACATCATACGATATAACAATGTATATATGTATGTATGAGTTTCGAGAAGGGTAACAGAAACACTATTTTTTGTGAGTCGGTCTAATGTACATACCCTTCTCACGAAGGTGAGAGTATACAAAGTATGATATGCTAGTTTGTTTATAAGTATGGTTGTCATTCGAATTAGAATTTAAGATATTGCACTTACAACCAAACGGCTCATAACTTTAGGAAAACTGGGCAAAAGGGGTTATAGGACACGTATACTGGACTCATTGGAAGGTTATAAACAATTATTGGACGTGCCTGATCGCATACCAGACACAGAATATGTCGGATAAATTGACTTTAAAGTGCACCAAAAGAATCGTATCGTTCATTTACTACAAAACTGGCATAATCAAAAAAAAGACATTTCGAGAAAAATGGCTTTGAAAATTTAATGACAGTTTACTATTTTTTAAATAATTTTTAAGCCAACCAAGGCATTTAAAAACTTAAACCAGACTCAGACGTTAATATGTTTCTCATCTAAATTACAATTTATTTGTTATTTATCTTCGTGAAAACATTAGTTTTAGTTTTTACGTTTGTAACAAAAAATCGAAAATTATACCCATACCCTTGAAAAACTGTAGTGTCATAGTTTTGTAGACCACAGTTCAAAAACCACGAATTTTGGATTACACACATATGTATGTCAGTCTTGTATCAAATGAGCGATATGTCTATTGTGTACTTTTATGAAGTTTTGATACTTACCATGGCAGAATTAGACATTAGACATTAATTACATCACTGCAGCGATACAAAAACAACATGTATTTTGTTTTTGTACGTTTGTATTAGAATAAGCTTACTGTCAAAATGTAAACAATTAACAGTCATAAGATGTAAACAATAACAAGTCACCTTTTTAATTATGCCATGGTAAATACTATGCAACTGCACAGTGAATTTTTTTAAAATTAAAACGAACAAAATTCTCTTACCTAGTAAAAACATATTGATTAGTGCTTCATCTACTTATTTGTTTTAATAAGTCTACATTGTTAATTAATTTTTTTTTAGTCAACATTACATATGAAACATGATCTTTTTCCTTAAATCGAATTAATTTTCATATTTAACATAAAGAAATTTCTTAACACAGCACTTTACATGAATTATTTATTATTCACCACTTTTAGTTAACACAAAATTCACACAACACTACGAATAGCAAGATAAAAAGTAAAAGCGACCGGCACCGGCACCCACTCTGCTTTTATTTCCTATTATTTACATACATACATATTTATTTTGCAGGAAATTTTATAAACAAACATATAACATCTTTTATTATCACTTTTTATTATCATTATATTCCCAATTATTTTAATAAATTTATTTTAATATAATTTTCCTTAGCGTCTCTACTAAACATACGACCCGTGTGAAAATTTCGCTTAAACTGATTATGATGGAAAAGAGCAATAAAGAAAATGTCAGTTGTTAAGAAGCTCCTTTTTATTTTATTAATGGGATATTAAGATACTATGAATGCGCAAATAACTTAAACAACAAAAGTACGTTAACATATTGTTCAACATTAATCAGTAATTAACAATAATTATTGGAATGTACATTTCAATTATTAATACATTTCCTGCAATACCGAAAATATAAAAGCAAAAATAAAATAAAAACAACGATAATGGTTGCATATTTCAACGAAAAATTATATTTTTTTAGTGTCTTACCTTAAAAGCGCTTACAAAAACATTATATATATATACTTGGGGTTAAAATTTTTCAGAAGCATGGTGCAGTATTCTTAACTTTTTCCAATATTCTTAACTTTTTCCAAAGTTCTTAAATTTCCACTTAGTTTGTTATCATTTTACTGTGAATGAATATTTTGACACATTTCAAGAAAAGAGAGAACAATTGTGTTTGAGAGCAAACTGTCAAACAATATTCACGTGTATTTCAACTGAAAACTGGACATCAAAATCATTTCTATTAAAAATACTGAAATTTTATATCATTTTGTATAAAAAGAGTAATAAATATATATTAAAATAAATTTCCATTAAAAGTATAATATGTCTTCATCATTCTTTTTGAAAAAAGAACCGAAAAACAATAAAAAACGAAAGGTGATTGTGGGAAATATTGACAACCTATTTGTAGTTGTCTAATTTTATATTATTTTTTTTACGTTTAGTTCCAAGTTGGCCAATCTTCAGGTGCTGGTGCCAAAGGTAAAAATAAATTGAAATCTAATGATCCTCCTGCCAAAAAAAGACCACAAATAGAAGATGAAGAAATTGCCAGTGATGATGAATACGGAAGTGGCGTGGAAGGAGATGGAGCACCAAATTTAGTGTTTTCCTCCGATGATGCAGATGAAGAAACACCACAAGATAAAAGACTTCGTTTAGCTAAGCAATATTTGGAAGAAATTGAAAAGCAAGAAGCGGACAAAGAAGAAGAAAGAGAACTTCATGATCAGGTTTCGCATAGACTACAAACAGAATATCTAGATAGCGTTGGCAAACTTCGCAGAAATATTGCAGCATCCATAGAAACTTACGATGCGGAAAATGTAGTGAAACTGAAACATAAAAAACAGCATTTACCAATGTGCTCACTTGCTTTATCTTCAGACGGCGAATATTTGTTTACAGGAGCAAAGACTCAATTTGTTTTAAAATGGAATTTAAAAACTAGCCGCATTGAGGGCTCTTTCGATGTGCAGGCACACAATGAAGATACCAATGCAGACATTAAACGTAGATCACACGTTATAGCGCTGTGCTTATCGAGTGACTTCCGTTATCTGGCATTAGCAGAAGGCGGCAATACCATACAAATTTGGTGCCCCAAGGAATTGAAACATTTAAAAACCTTTCACGGCCATAGAGATGTTGTAACATCTTTGGTGTTTCGTAAAGACACACATGAGCTCTACTCTGCTTCTAGGGATAGATCAGTTAAGATTTGGTCATTAGATGAAATGGCCTACATAGAAACTTTGTAAGTATGTGAGTTTTAAGTAAACTGAATATGTTTCAAAATTTGTATTAATTTTAGATTTGGTCACCAGACGGCTATCACCAGCATTGATGCATTATCCCGCGAACGTGCAATAACCTCCGGTGGTTCTGATTGTACTTTGAGAATTTGGAAAATTACTGAAGAGTCTCAACTGATTTACAATGGACATCATGATAGTATAGAAAATGTTAAATTTATCAATGATGAAAACTTTATATCTTCGGGTGTTGATGGGTAAGTTTAGTAGATTTAACTGATAAAAACTGAAAAACTCTTTTTCAAATCACGCAAAGAAAACGGAAATTAAAAAATTTCTGTAATTTTCATCATCAATTCAAATATTACCGTAAAATTTAATTTTCATTATTTCTATTATGTCTTTCAGATCGTTAGGATTGTGGACAGCATTAAAGAAGAAACCACTGTATACTGAAGCTCTAACACACGGAGTACAATCTAACGGAGAACCTAATTGGGTCACAGCAATTGCTTGTGTTGTAAACACAGACTTAATAGCTTCTGGTATGATCACAAAGTAAATCTTGAATAAATAAGTTGTCAAATCAGTTTCCTTCTTCTATTTCGTAGGTTCATGTGATGGTTTTATTCGCCTTTGGCAGTGTGCGGAAAATAACCGAAAATTAAAATTAGTTTTAAAAATTCCAGTTGAAGGTTTTGTAAATAATTTAGTTTTTAATTCTAACGGAACTAAACTTTTTGCTGCAGTTGGTCAAGAACATAAATGGGGTCGCTGGTGGCGTTTACCTCAAGCTAAAAATCAAATTATTGTTATCGATTTAATTAGATCAATCACATCAAATGAAAACAAAGGAAAAAGTAAATGAAATACTAATTTTATAGAACTTTTTATAAATCTGTATGTTATAGAATATTTTAAAGAGTTTTATTAAGCGAAATATTAGTTTCGATCACAAAGGCATAAATATTTACTGTATTTCAAGAAATTCATTAAGCAACAAATATTTATTTTTTAAGTAGGCACTAAAATGTTACCTATACTCAGTGTATATGTTATAACTAACCTCTGTTAACTTTAACTGCTTGAAAGCTTTAAGTCTGAAATTTTAAAGCTTGTTTCCTAAATAGAATTAAAGATGTTTTTAGAAGTTTTTTTTTTAATTAAGCCAAACAAAATAAAAATACTTGTACTATTTAAATTAAATATTTTTTATAATCACACCTATTCTGATTTCAATTTGAATTGAAATTTTTGTCCGTTTGGCAACTTTGGTATTCTGCATTTCAATTCGAAGCTCCTTCACTAAAATAACAATTTAGAAAAACGTAGTTACAATAGTAATGCAGAACACACAAAATCGTAAAGCATTGAAATAATATGGAATTGCTTCATCTTTTTATTGCGATTTCGATTTGTTTAAGAATTTTCTTCGAAATAGGAAAATGCAAAAAGATGACCTATAATGAAGAGAAACTTTTTACATTATCATCAGGTGTTTACATTCTAGTCAAATTTCAGATTATTATGATTAAAAATTCAGTTACAAGTTTTTAACTGGGATAACTCATGCATTTCGGTTACGTTCAGTTACGCAACGATTGAAAAAAAGTATTCCAACAAAAAACGAAATCGTAAGAAACAGAAGAATCAATTCCCTTTCGTTTCAAGGTTTTACGATTGTTTGTATTTTGCATTATAATATTTTTGTAAGTTGTTGTTTTAGTGACCGTCGAATCGAAATATCAAAGTTGCGAAACGGAGAAAATTTCGATTGGAATTGAAACGCAGTCAATTCGTCAGTCATGTTTGCCAAATTTCGGCCTATCCGGACTAGAGGAACAGATTTAAAATTCAGTTACAGATTTGAAAACTGATAAGGGCAAATTTAATTAATGCTAAAAATTAAAATTATATTGATTTAACTTCAAAGAACTTCTAGCCTTTCTATTTTTATTTAATATCAAATACAGCTTTAAATGTTTTATTGAAATATTATATTAATAATTGTTGACTCCACACATATTGCACTTTATTAGAAAAAATGTTAGATATACGACGAGTGTTTTCGTTAATATTAAAATACATCGTCACCAACTACATCGGAAATTGTGGCTACCAAACGCCTGGAATGTTCAACGGCACAAGTAGCCGTTACCAAGCCTAAATGCACACAATACAATTCGTAACATTTTATTTTATTTGCTGGTGTTTTTGGAAAGCACACATCTGTCAGTAGATGATAATAATCGCCAGCTAATAAACCGGGCTCAAAATTCGGTTTGAATGCACTCGCGGAATGTTGTGAAGCGTTAAAATGTTTTTGCAGATCTATAGATTTTGAAGATCCTGTTGTTTGGTCCTCAAACCAAAGGAAGTAGGCATAGTTAAAAGACTTGTCTTTCCACATCACAGAAGAATGTCCTTTTTTCAAATGTGTACGAGAAAATTCCAACATCTCGGAAAGATTTTCACTTGGTATAAGAGGAGTGCTGGACTTTAGGTCGGGAGAGATCATTAGCCCAGAAGAACGATTTATATAAATGAAGTGTATAAGTCCAGGAAAATCTTCCAGATAAGCCTCAATTGAGATATTTCTTTCTGCTTTAACCGCTAGAAACTCCGAAAATTCCAAAAGCTTACCCTCTACTACAGAAGCGACTTCAGGTAATTGCTGAAAATTAATAGCTGAAGAGTCACAACAGGCCATAGTAAATAGTTGTTTGAGATCTTCCTGAAATGATGGAATATTCGATTCTATGCGGACAATCAAATCTCTTTCATACGTTTTGAGAAACTCGTTATACATTTTCCTTAGGTTTTCCCATTTCGAAGAGAACTTCTTTAGACATGTTTCTAAATCGTCGCCTTTTAGTTTGGCCTTTTTCAGAGCATCAATTGATTGTTTGATGAATGATTCCAATGATTCATATGTAGGCTTTAAAGCCTCTGCATCTCCTTGCATTTGTATTGAAATTATCTTTTGCAGTACATATAGCGTGTCATATAAACTACAAGCTACCGGCAGAGGAGCATATTCAACAATCTGTATTAGAACCACACCCTTATTTAATTTATTTAAATGAGCGATGCATGGTACACATCCTGAATGGGGATCTTGGCTAAGTCCTTGAAGAAATACCGCTACTGTCTTATTAAGGCCTCTTGAATCCTTTTGCAATGACCGTATTAACAAGGCCAAAAATAGTAAATCGGAAGGACTTAATTGCATAGCATTTTTGGAAGAATTGATGGAGACAAATTTAACGCCAACAAACAATATGGCATGACATCTCGAATGGCCACTGTCTCTCAGACAATCAAGTGCTCGATCTAAACTCCCTTTTACGGCTCTTCTTAGTTCAGAATTAATCAATAACCGTGGCAATGCTTCTACCTGTAAAATCAAATCTTGATCCCAAATCTCATCCTCATAACATTCCATGCATTTAGAAAATAATTCTTCTTGGACGTCACTTGCAAACAAATTGGGACCATGTAGATGTTTGGCTAATGACATCAGTACACCCATTTGTCGTTGCATGTATTCCAATCTGTCTTGGGAAATTTTTAAAAATTGAAATCCAAGTACTTCTCCGAATACAAAATTCAAGTCATGTTCGCATTGTATGGCTGCGTAGCAATTATCGAATTGACAATGCATTATTTTCTGCGAATTTATTAGGGGGCTAAATAATTGCAGCAAAACGTTAGCATCGATATTTCCCTGTTGAGGTACTGAAACATCTTTATGAAAATCTTCAGGCAGTAGTCCCTGTGAAACTGCCTTTTCATAAATATGTTCTCGCAACTTAGAATTAAGCTTTTCATACACCACATCGTTCGCACTATTAAATACAATCAATCCATTCATTTTTTATTTTTCTTAAAATTATTTAAACAACATAACTTATTATTTCTTTGTGTTAAATAACTGATAACGAATACAGAAAATTTTCGCAATTTCCCACAGCGCAGATAAACAAAATTAAGGAGGAAAAAGAAAAAAGTGAGATATGTAAATAGTTTGTAAACAAAAACATTGTGAATGATTTTAACATTTGACGGGCACTATTGTGAATCAAACAATATTCAATATTACATCAAATCATATATTTTGCTTTGTGTTTTTTACTAATTTTCTTAAACATTTTGCAATACAAGATTTGTTACAGCAGTAAATATTGTATATTTACACAAGTTCTTACAAGAATGAATGATGAACATGAAGATTCCTTTGAACTGGCCCTGGCCACAATGGATTTGCCAACTGCGGCAAAAGTACCAAGAAAAAGTTTTGAAATTCCTAATGCAAGCGCACACACTGCCTCAACAAAAACAACTATTAAAATACAGGAAGATAATATCAAAAAATCTGAAATAAAAGCGAAAAATACTGCGGCTAATCCACATTGTATTTTAGTTCATCCAAAGCAAAGAGGTAATCCTATAATAAAATCTATACAAAATGTACCTTTAGAATTTCGAGATGATATAATACCCGATTATGTTGTTGGAAGAACTACTTGCATTTTGTATTTGTCGCTTAAATATCACAATTTGAATCCGGATTACATATGTCAGCGTTTGAAAGAATTGGGGAAGCAATATGAATTAAGAGTCTTGTTAGTACAGGTGGATACACCGGAGCCACATAATGCTCTAAAAAGCCTCACCAGGATAAGTTTACTGGCAGATCTGACCTTAATGTTGGCTTGGAATGCAGAGGAGGCCGGTAAAATTATTGAAACCTATAAATTATTTGAAAAACGAGGTCCAGATTTGATAATGGAAAGGGTAGAATCTAATCCCCATCAGAAAGTATGTTTGCCTTTAATAATAGACGAAGAATCAAAAATATGATAATTTATTATTTTGTAGTTGGTCTCTGCTTTAACAAATATAAAGCCGGTGAATAAAACAGATGCCGTGACACTTTTACAAAATTTTGGCAACTTGGAGAACCTCATCAATGCAAGTGAAGATCGTTTATCTCAGGTTATCGGTTTGGGACCACGTAAAGCTAAAAAACTTTACACAACATTGCAGGAACCTTTTCTAGGAAAATGATTTTTTTTATTTTGTTTTTAAATATTTATTTTGAAAATATAAATTTGTTAAGAATTTTACAAGTTTCTCATCTTAGTATACAAAATTTACTCAGTGTATTTCCAGATTTTAATATTACCATCATCACTACAGGAAACCAGTTGATTAGGATGAACTGGATTCCACGAAACTTTATTTACATCTTGTAAATGGGCTTTGTCTTGAGAGGCAACTAAAGTAAATACCGGTTCATTCTTCGTGGATGTCTCCAAATCTTCCTTAAAAATTCTTATAGAATCATCTCCGCAAGCTGTTGCTATAAGGCCAGTCAATTTACACCATGATACATCGTAAATAGTGCGAGAATGTTCTCCTGCTATGGTGCAGACACATTTCCATACGGTTTCATTATCTGGTGTAGCTACTCCTTCGGGATTTCCCGGAGCATATGCCCGCCATATTTTCATGGTGCGATCATCACTTACCGATACCAATCTTTCACCTTCGGCATCAAAATCTATAGCCCATACAGTGCTCGTATGACCAGCCAAAGTAGCCGTGCAATCCCAGTCATTGTCTAATGTATTCTCTGCATACATCTTTATGGTGTTGTCATAAGAACAAGAGGCTAGCACCTCTTTAGTGGGATGCCATGTAACGCGTTTCACATCTTGTGTGTGAGCATTCAATACTGCGGCACATTCAAATTCATCATCACCTGTTACCTCCCAGATCCAGACTGACTTATCGCGGGAACAAGTAGCCAGCAATGAACCAGAATTCGACCAACTAGAACTCTTTACTTCATTTTCATGACCTTCCAAAGTGGCATTGCACTCGAATTCACCTAAAAGTTAAGATAAAGGGATTAGTTCATAAAGTTATTACGACGTAGGAGTGTACCTGATGTTTTTGACCATATAGCGGTGGTGCCGTCAAAACTGGCCGATGCTAGGTATTGGCCACATTTGGACCAAGCTACTTCTCTAATTGTTCTCTTGTGCCCATCGGATAGAATAGTTTTCGTTGACCAATTGTTGCCGGTCATTGACCAAATTCGTATGGTTTTATCTTCACCACAAGAAGCAAATGCATTACCCTTGGGATGCCACGATACACACCAGATGCGGCCTTTGTGTCCTTGCAAAGTTTGCTCGCATTGTAATTTCGACATGTTTTGATAAAATTTTATTATAAATTATTTCAATTATTTAGTTTTTTGTTGTTTTATTATTTGCGTCCAGCTGATTTAGCATGTGTTTTTAATAATTCACAATAGTCTATGATTGTGATTGAATATGTGGAACTGCCAGCATTAAATTTCTCGTGTTTATCATTCGATAAAATATTTAAATTTAAAAGAAACTATAATAATGACAAAAATTTTAAATAATTTGAAAAATTGAAATTAAATAAAAAATTTATTCCTAATTTTAAATAAAATTAAAAATAGCATAAGTTATTATTCCAGATGTGCTGATGACATGAATGTCATTCGAAATCGAATGTCAAAAGCTCATGTAGACGGTATAGATTTCGGTATGGTTGAAATCTCATTCAGTGCCCCGTTTCTGTAACTCTCGCATCGAGAAAATCTGTCGAAAAATTCATGATCATCTTGTGTAAAACAGGGTGAATGCAAGAAATTTAAAAATTTCTTATTAAATTTTAATGAGTACAGTTTAAAAATAATCAGAGTCACACTGTTAAAAACTGGAAGACTATTATATTTTAAGTTTTTTTCTAGATTCGAGAAAATTACAGATACGAGGTACAGAATTTAATTAAAAATAAAAATGTTTAATCTGTTTTGAAATTTACCTTTAACCATTTATAAGCCAGTAGCTTAAATCTCAACCGACTTTAGATTTCTCAAAGTATTTAGAAAGAATTTATAATTTAGAAAGAAGAACATTAGTCCTTTTCATTTCATTAGGATTGGTCTACAACTGACCCTACCGTTCATTATAGGTACCCTTCAGAAAATAGCTTAACGTTTATAACTAATTTAAAAATTCCAGTGTAGCAATGAAATACAACATGATCGAGTTTTATATCAAGCGAAATCTCTCTACCAAATATAACGATCGGTTCATAATTGACCCTACCCTCTATACATATCATCTCCCCTTCAGAAAATGACTTTAAAGCTAATATGACATTAAAATACCAGTATTACAATGAAATTTAACATAATCATGTTTTATATTAACCAAAATATATGTACTAAATTTTATGAGGATCGTTCCATAATTGAAACTGCCCCTCATAAACGGTCCTTTCCCGAAAATTACTTCAAAATGCCAATATAGAACTGAAATATGTATGTATGACATAATCGAGTTTTATATCAACCGAAATCTCTCTACTAAGCTCTATGAGAAACGGCCCATAATTAACCCTGCCCCCCATATAAAGCTTTGCTGACATAATAATACCATAATAAAACAAGTCAGAGTTCTATATTCGGCTATGCCGATTCTTATATAACCTTCACTATGATGTGTTAAAAAAAAACAGTCAGTACAAAAAATCAAAAAATATCAATTGTAAAATGAAACAGAACCAGAAAGTTCCCTTTTATAGATTTTATTAATTCAATCAATAAAAGTACAAAAATTCCTTTCCTACAGATTTTCATTTACTTAGCACTCTGAATGTTCAATTTAATGTTTCTAAGTTCAATATTAGAGAAAATTCAAAAAGTGCCTTTTGAAGAACCAAAAAGTGCCAAAAAGCCTCATTTTATAGGTTCACATTTACTCCAGGGCTTACATGATTTATTTCATGTGTCTAGCCAATAACAGCACACTGCTTTATTTTTAACGTGTTGTTCTTGCTCTGCTATGTTTTTATAAACAAGCAAGTACAAGAACAACACATCTCCTTTATTTATGAAGCGATTTTGCTGAAAGTATGACTGACAGAATTGTTGAAGATTTGGGTCCCGAAGATATCTGGAGTCTTCAGAAAATTGATTTCGACAAACACACACAGACATACATTCGGACATAGCTTTATCGACTCCGCTATCTATAAGGACTCGGAATATATATGTATATTTTATAGCGTCGGAAAATTATTTTATAGACATTTTTTGGGCACCTCTAATTGTATACTTAAAGGAACACATACATATGTACATACATAGATTCGTATGTATGTACATAATCCTTTTTGAATACGGATGTTAATCAACATTAATAATACTTGGCTAATTTTAAATTTCACATTTTTTTACAAACAAAAATTTTACAAAATAATTAAAATTTGAAATTTTAAAAACAAGCTCGCGGTAGGAAAAACATACAACTCATTTACTACAAGAATGGGATCCAGGAACTTCGTTTTTAATGATGTTCTATAACTTAATAATTCTAACTTAAATGTTCCTGAACTTAAAAAAAATTTTACTTATCAAGCATACGTGAAAACTTGGGTTTTAGTTTTGACTTTTGCAAAAAACACTCGCACACCGATATGTTCGAAAAGAAACAAAAATGTATGAAAGGCACATCTTATTTTATATTACTCAGTTGAAAAAACCCGAATTTTTAAATATGCCAGTCTTGTAGTAAATGAGCGTATATTTTATTAAATTTTTAATAGTTTTCAGAAAGTTTGTTCCACTGATTAAACTAAAAAGAAATGTCTATTTCTCTTATTTATTTGTTGCCAATTTCAAGCTTTTTAGAGTTATTAAAAATTCCAATCACATATCGAACTGGAGTAAACATGAAAATTAACAACCAAAAATAAACTGTAACCAAAACAATAAAAACCACACAGATTTTAATACAAATTGAAAGAAATGTATGCCACACACTAACATTCTTTACACAAACATACAATTTCGATATAAAATAATCCAACGTGCTACATAAACGCGGACATATGTACATAAGTATGTATTGTATGTACAATAAATATTTTCCAAATTCGCACATCTACATTATGCGCCAATTGGACTAATTGTCCGACATACATACTACATACATTCATATGTATGTACATTAGAGGTACCCAATTTAGATTTTGTTCAATAGTGTCTAGTCCAACTAGTGTTGAATTTTATTCCAATCCGATAACGGGAACCTGTGCCGGAATCAAATATAAAATTGTGCAATTTCGTTCATGTCATGCTCTAACGTTAACTATGTCAAGATATTTTAGATCGTTTGTTTAATAATATAATAATGAAGAATGCATATTAAACTTTTATAAAAAAACCTAATAGTTTATATAAATTCTATTTATACATATGTACATACATATGTATCTACAACCACCACTTTAAATCTCTGTATGTACGAGTTTTTAGCAACATTTTTATAATAAATCTACATACCATCAAACCCACATTTGACGCTGGCCCAACAATCGCCATATGTTTAGCTGTAAGCTCTCTCAAAGATCAAATTAAATTGTGGGCTTCAAATAAAATTTGTTAGAAACTGAAAACAATTCAGTTAATAAAAAGCTTTTAAACCTGTTGGACGTATTTTATTTGAACCAACATTTGAAACGGTTGTGTCGGTAAAACAGCTGATGTTGCTGTTGGTGGTGCTTCGATAGCAAAAAAAAATTAGAGAAAAAAAAACAAAGACAATTTTGCACAATAAGTTTGTAATTGTAATTTTGTTTGTAATAAAAAGTAACACACATTTAGCTACATACAGAAAATTTAAAAGTGAACGCGCTTTTTGCATCTTACAACAATAAAAAAACAAGAAAAAACCAGTAAACCATAACGAGACAAGTAAAAATAATAGCAATAACCTTCAAACATGTATAAAATCAAAAGTATTTACAACAATTTAATTGTCAACATCATTATCATCGTTTTAATGTGCAATTATGTCTTCTCGACTCCCATGTTGTATAAACGTAATCCGGATGATAAATACGAAAGAGGTTTGTTTGTTCATTAGTTCACTCGTCGATCGATGCATTCATTTTGAGTTTTTTAAATTGTCTGAAAATAAATAAAAATTAGTCAGCACAAACAGCGTGACTGGGTATTATTTTTATTGTACTTATTGGATCTGATTTTCAATGAAATTCAGTCTTGTTATAAAACAATTTTTTAAATAAACTTATTTGAAATTTAAAAAATAAATCCTAAACGTTATATTAAATCTACAATTGAAGAGCTTGCTGCAATAACATGATAAGCCACTCGATATCGAAAACTGATTTTATGAGCTAATTCATTACCATGTATCTTGGCTACTCCGATCAAAAATATTTTCATAAAATTTTAATAGAATTATTTTATATAGAGAAATTTAAAAAATGTTAAAAACTTTAAATTCGTTTTTCTCAATATTTTTAATAACATACCGAATTACTGCAATAAGCCCTTCAATCTGGTTATTTAACTGCGCCGAATAGCCCAAACTTAGCTCCAGAGTTTAATGTTGTCCACCAAAATCCAAAATGAGCCGACTTTTGACTTACCAATGACAATCCGTCTTTCGAAAATATATCTTTTTTTTTTAATCTCTATCTAATATTTTTATGTAATTAAAGAGGTATTGAGAAATATTTCAACAAGAATATCTTTCATGCTACAAAATTTTTGTAATAACGAGTCCGTATAACTGTTAATTTTGAAAATTACTTAATATCAAATATTTGGACGTGGCCTATATCAAAATCTTATTAAAATTAAAACTTTAATTTCAGATTTAGTGCCAGTATCATCCACAGTTATACCTTTAACGGTACTTGAGGTGAGTTATGGACTAGGTGGTAAACCCAGTGAGGAATACAAAGAGGCCTACCTAAAAAAACTTCGCAAAAAAGTTCAACATGAAAAGAGCGAAGGTGAAATTTACGAAGATCCAGACACTTTAATAACGAGTAAGTAACGAAAGTATTCGAATATTCTTTAAAAATTTCAATATTTGATAATTATTAAGCTAATTAGTAATGTTGTCTCCTTCACATCAAATAAGTTCATTAGCGTTTGTAGCCAGTTAAAATACTTTTTTGGCAAATGCCATTTTAAGGCGATACACAATAAGACAACTCTTTGCGACCTACACAAACTTCAATTCTAATATTTTAAACAATTTAAAAAACATTAATTTATGCCAATGCAAACAAATAAAAAAAAATTTGTCTATAGTTGAGACACTGGTAGTATTATTTATTTTAATTGAAAATCTTCGAATGTCTTTACATAAGATTGCAATGTCCATTTGATGGCTTTTAAAACTCTTGGATCGAAATATTGTAACGTTTTATTTTATGAATAGGCTTTAAACCAT